CAATTTTAAAGCGATTGACTCCCAATTTTAACTCTAGACAAGGCAAAGAAGAAAAAGCTTGGAGTTAAAAATCAGTTCAATACATTTCTTGGAAAAGCGATTCCATCTCAACGAAATCGAAGCATTCTTGTATTGTCAGCAAAGCTCCTAACTTCTGCTCCAAAGCAGTGAATGCCATTCTAAATTAAACGCAAATTATTTGAAAAGTTTGTTTAGAGTGCAGCGAAGGCTAGCGCCAGACGAAGGCATAAAAAAATTATGTCCCTTTATTCAAATGCATCGGACGGAAGCTAAAATTCGTTTATTAAGCTTCTCGTAAGCAAATGCGCGACAGGTGTTGATAATTTTCATATCTCAAAAACTGAACAACTGACTTGACTCAGTAGGTTAACTCTTATATCTATACAATGTGTCAGATGCGAGCACAAGCACAGTTAGCGCAGGTTGGCTGGACCAGAAATGTCAATTAGAATTGTTTGACAAAATGCACATTCACACAAACATACATACATATATACATATATACTTAGATCTAACAACAAATCTTAAACAAACAGCACTAGAGAGATCAATGTTGTTAAACAGAAAAAAAGAAAAAAAATTAAATTTGCTTAAAATATTTCAAACGTGACTAATATTTCAAGCGAGGTAACGGTTGGTTAGTAAGCTAAACTGAAAAGTGACCAAGATTAGCATTCATTTATTACAATAAGCGAACAGCCAGCCACAAATGCTCGGTGCCATTATGAACTGAGATTAGTCATTGGAATGGTATGTAAATGCTGGATTTTTCTGACAAAGAAACCTGTCTTCATACACGTCAGTGTGTACATAAAATATTTCATTTTAAACAGTGTATAGAGAATTAGAAGGAAATATCAAAAAAAAAAACAGAAACGCAGGTTTACTGTGATACGAAATTAAAATTAAGAAAATTTATCAAAATGCAAATAAAAGAGAAAAAAAAAAAAAGGAGAAAAGAAAACAAATTGGGAAATAAAATTTTCTCACCCTATTAAAGCAACGGTTTAATAAATGTTATGGAAACCGAAGCAATGTGGAAACCGCAACTAATCGTCTGAAGAGCAAAAGTTCAGTACAATCCACAAAACTCTTCTTTTCTTACACACATACGTACTTGCATACGTACAAGCACGATGCTCGTCTCTACTTAACCATTCATTTAACATTTTCGCATCTGCTAAAAGCGAAAGAAAGTAAGAAAAAGAAAAAAAAGGAAGCAAACGCGCCAAAACCTCAATTTCCATGTATAGCGAGACGGTCTGGGAAATTTTTACTTTTTTCAATAAAAAATATATCGAAATATTTATTAGTAGTAAATAAATAACATTGAAATTTAAATCAAATTAAAGTAAATTAAATTTGAAATGTGTCGGCATTTTGTACACACAATTGCGATGCACACACAACTATTCAATTTTCATTATAATACAAGCTGAGTGCGTTGCCTCTCGACAGCTTTAATCAAATTCTCAGTGTTCATTATACCGTAACTTCACCGAGATGAACGCGAAATGAAAACTTTCACTTATATATTTTCCTTTTTTCTTTTTCTTTTTTTTTTAAATACATTAACAAATAATAATTAGACAATTGTTTGTTTATAAAAATGTAAAAAAAACAAACAAATAAATAAATAAATAATTAGATCATCATAAGCGTACAATCTAGGAAACGTCGGGCATTTTTACCCATTACAACTGAACCCTAAAATAAATAAAAAAAAGCAAATAAGAAAATTATATTCTGTTGTGATTGAATTTCTTTTACCCATCATCGTTATCCGAATTTTATAGAATACTTTTCTCGAAACTTATATCGTTGATCTGTTGTAGTTTGTTACCAACGAGAAAGAAAGAGGGAAAGCAAAAGTGTTCACCGTTTTTTGTTATATAGACGCGTGGATTTTGTATGCCATTTTCAAATTTTTCTGCAAGCTTGTAGGCGACGTCTTCATTTTTGCAAATGAAGACAGGTGGACAGATGAACAGACGAACTTGCTTAGGTGGTTAGGTGCATTCCGAATTTGAATTCTTCTGCAAGTTTGTAGATCAAAAGGCTAACTTGCCAGAAGGTCTGCAATGATTAATCCTTTCTTCAGACAAATGGTGAAAGTTAATTGTTCAAAGTGACACATACTTAGTATAATGCAATTCACTTAATGTGCAGACGCCGCGATGTTGTTCCCTTATTTGGTATATTCATATATTCTATATCCGTACTTTAAATTACACTGCAAACAAAAAAGAAAGAAAGAGCATGCTTATGGGCACTTCAACTGTATTTCCTAAACGTGATATAAGTGAAATATTGAGCATTATTCAAATGACTAAACTAACAATGTTGAGTATTTCTCCTTTTGTTTCTTTCTTTTATGCCCTGCACCACTTGTGCTGCAGATCGATTGAGCATCACTTTCTGAATCTTGTCTACTTTTAAGGTTATCTGTCTGTCTGTGCATCTTGTTTTGTCGTGTTCAAAATGCACGTCACAGCTTTTAAAATATTTTGACGAAATTTCCTACATCCACATGTTCTCGCTTAAGGACGAACGCTATTGCAATTGCTTTGGATAGGATCACTTTTCCGCATATCAAGCCTTATTTTATGAGTAACGAGGTGGCAATCATGGGCCATTTCTCCTTATACTGTCTTTACTTTTTTTTTTATGTAGTCTTAGTTGCTATTAGTCCCATTTCACTTTAGTATAGGAATTTATTGATTATAATAATAATAATACTATGTACGCTTTTTAACAAATCTTTTCTTACGGTGAAATATGTCCCAATTATCTGTCTATGATCACAAGCACACTCGAAAAAAATGTCTTACTTTTTTATGCTTAGCCTGCGCTCGCTAGTCGTCCAGAGACAACTCCCATTCCTGAAGTCAAAGCAAAATCGAGCTCGATAAGTTTAATAGGGTAAAATACTCGTACTTTGCTTGGTTAAGAAGAGAAGAACCTTGGAAAATTATCCTGTAATTACACATTCTATATAAGAAGAAGAAAAAGGAAGAATAGGGAAACTTTTGACAAGGCTCTGAATATGGCAGCGAGCGGGAACGATCAGTACAGTTTTTGGCCCCTTCATATATATTACAAAAAAACATATGGTAGTGTCTGAGCTAGAAATTGATAATCATCCCTTTAATGTATTATCAGTAACTGCATTTCTATTATCCAAAATTGCTTTGAAATCATTTGTAAGTGATTTTCAATATTAAGTTTCTTCCTTTTCTTCTTTCCCTAAAGAAACTATCAAGAAACTATTCCATCGTAACAAAGTCGTTACTATTATAATGAAATATTTTACAATTTAACTGCGAAACATCAGCTGCTCGCTGATTGACTGTTTTTTTTTTTTGCCTGCTGCTTGCCGGGTGCGCTTTTATGCTCTATAAAAAAAAAATAATTGAAAGGAAAGGAGACAAGCAACAAACGAAACGAAAGAAAAAGACGTGTTTTTGAAGCTAACAAGAAACATAAACAAGTTAAAATTCAACTTGCTTTCGCTGCTTTCGCTACCGACATCGCTGCTTTTATTTCTCTCTTTCTTTTATTTACCTTTTTTTCTGCAGCATAAAGACATATGCTGCTGTTGTTTTATTTATTTATGTTTTCATCATCTTAAGGCTTTGTATAGATTGTTTCTTATTTCGCAGCATTTTCGTGTAAAGTCGTTTGAATGTGCAGCTAACCTTCACAAGGCCGTTCATCGCAAGCCGGATTCTTTCAACAACACAACATATTTTCTCCTTTTTTTTCTCTTTTTTTTTTTTTTTACTTATGTAGATACGTACAAAAAATGTCGCTTAGCGGTCGCTAGGTGGACATAAGAAAGTAGGCTGCTTGATTGAGTGCTAACAATATAGTTGTTCTTAGTTTGGGTGTTTATGGCGAAGAAGGAAAAGCTTTCAAAATTTCCATTTTAGCGATATCATAAAACTAATAAGCAAATGCGTATCGTATGTGTCGTATGTGCTACATTTAGATATTTCTGTTGAACATTTATTTATTTATTTTTTTTTTTTTTTTGTTAAATACAACAATTTCGAAGAAATTTTGTTAATGTTTCTCTCTCACACTCTGGGCTCAAATCAAAGAAAAAAAGAAAAGACGAAACACCGTTAGACGAAAGTACAAAGAAAACTCTCTGTAACCTAAACATTATTTTTCTTCTCCCTTTAATAAACTCTCTCAGTGTCCATACTTATGCAAAGCATATTATTTCTCTCCATTAACCTAAACATTATTTATCTTCTCCCTTTAATAAACTCTCTCAGTCTCCACATTTATACAAAACATATTATTTCTCTCCATTAACCTAAACATTATTTATCTTCTCCCTTTAATAAACTCTCTCAGTCACCACACTTGCACATTACATATTATTTGCACACAATCTTTTCTCTCTGTTTATTTATTTATTTTTTTCTTGTTTTGTTGCTTTCATTTTTTTCTCTCTATCGGAACAATCCTGACTTTAATGCTCTCTTTCCTCTTTTCAAAATGCATTCTTATCAATATATTTGTTTCATCCACACAGCTACTAACTAAGCACTTACTTATCGATATTTATGTTAACTATGTTGGTGGTGGATTTTATAGTGTGTGATCCCCATATAGCAAACCATTCATTGTAACAGCTACGATGATGGTGTTGGTCTCATATACAATTTGAAAATTTTTTGCTCTAAAATCTAAAGAAGTTTAAGTTTCACAAGTTTATGAAATTAGTTGCTTAAAAAGCGCCATGGACGGATCATCATTTTAGAAGCGAGTGCGGTTAATGGAAAAAGATAGTAAATATAAAATTAAAAAGTTAATAATGTTAATAATAAAAAAAATATATATATATATATAAGAAGCAATAATATTTCTCAAGAACTTTAAATAATTTCATAAAATAAAACAAAGTGATAAAGTGACGAAGAAAAATTTGCTAAAAAAATTTGTAACTGTACAAATATTTTTTATATTTTTAAAAATATAAAAATACATATATATTTTTTTATTAAAAAAAAAAAACAACAACAAACAAATAAAATGGTGCGTAGTTTGGCTCAGTGGACGAAAACTTTGAGTTTTCCGTCACGTCTGTCACCCAATCGTAATTCAAAAGATTGCTCAAATTTGAATACAAACACTAGTCTTCTGCCACCTCCAACTCCACCCAGGAATAAAACTACCAACTGTGCTACCTCAAGATCATCCTCGTCCACTGTCTCAACAGCCTCGGCTGCTTCGACAAATTCCAACAATAATAATACTAATGGCAACAATAAGATGCCTATAACCGAATTGGAACAAATTGTAAGTAATTTTTTTTCCAAAAAAAAGTTTTTTATTTTTCTTAAATACTTCACTTTAATTGCTTAGCTTTTGTTAAAATTCTTTTCTTTTTTTAATCCACCATCTCTGGCCATACGATAGTATATTCATTGACGATAGAATTGAAAAACATGTGTTATACAGGCGGAGGTATGAGAAGGAGTTAAGGACAAAATAGGCAGGCAGTTTAACCAAAGGCCGCGTATAAAATACTCGGTATTATTACAATTATAATGAAAAAAGTGAAGCATTCGTCTTCACTGTAAGCATAAAGTTTCAAAGATCATATTTCTTTGGTAGAATTCTTACATATTCTTGGGGAACTCTCACGGGGAACAAATATTGCAACCTACATACGTAAACTAGGCTTACAGACCATATTTCAAGCATTAGATCGTCTATGAAAATCCGGCCAATAGTCACGTCTTCGAATCCCTGAGAACCTGGACACAGCTCAAAAAACTAAAATTTGAAGCTACACTATCCACCATCCATTGTTACACAGTAGAAGAAGATCGTGTAAATCGAAAAAAAAACAAATGTTTGTCATTACCAAACAAATCAAGTCATTTAGTGAAGAGTAAAAGTTAATTTGGACCAAGACAGCTTATAAACTCGAAGAACGCCTTGAATGTCGTCTTCACACAGTAAAAGATTGGTTCCTCATGAAATCATGTAAATCGAAAAAAAAAATGTTTGCAATTACTTCATTATTGGTATTTGTTTCAGGTTCAGCTTCCAAAAATGTCAAGCTTTGCCTTCAATTATTCTATTTTTATAGGAAAAACGCACTTTGTAATGAAAGTCATTTGATATTCATTTAGAAGAAAATTTTTAATGAATTAAAAGTGATTCATTTAATTTTACGAAAATAAGTCTGACAATGAAAATTGTTTAAAATTCAAAATGACATTCAAGGCGTTCTTCGAGTTTGTAAGCTGTGTTGGTCCTGAGATAAATGCTCAGGAAGTTTTAAGTTTGATGATGGAGGGCTCAAAAAAGAGACAAATTTTTTGAATTCGATCTAAGTACGAATGTGACCAAAAGTGCCCTACAAATACGACTATGAACTAAATACGATGGATTCAGCATTCGAATATGATGAAGTTGGTTCACGCCAAGCAGGGAGGAAATTATTTCACATGAAAAGTTATTAAGGATTCATTATTATCGCTTAATAATTTACTTACAGAAAATATAAAAATATTATTATTATTATAATTACTTTAGCCATAGAAAAAAATTCGAAGACTAACCCCTCAAAGCACTGGCATCTAAGACTATCGGATTTATTGAAAACGCTGGGGCCCTTCACATTTGAATCCACGACCACTGAGATATATTAGTCGCGATGCTTTGCTCACTCGGATACTCAGGCCTAAAAAATATATTACAAACAAGTAGGAAAGTAATTTTCGGAGGGGTCCGAATCTCGCATACCCACCACTATGTTTTTCGCATTCTACTCTCCAAGTTCTTTTATTTATGATACCCACATCGCTGGTATTATTAAGAAAAAACTAATCCAGCAGGTCGCGATGTCTATCAAATTCATTTTAGGATTAACCCATTTTTAAGCAGATGATATATCTTCACTTGAGGAGTATACAACGTAGTTTTAAACATTCGATTTTGTTTGCCTTGTGATAAATAAGCATTAAACGTCAAAAAAGTGAAAAAAAAACTAAATTTAATTACCCGTAACTTTGTGTCGGTATGGGTTGCGTTTTCCAATATTGCACGTAAGGAGTAGAGTGTTTCGCAAAGTAAACGTGGAAAATTTCAACCTCCCAACTTTTATAATTTCTGAGTAACGAGCAAAAAGAAACAAATTTTTGTTAAGGAAAACGGAGTTGCGTTCAGTATATGCGCCACTAGGAACTCATGCTCTGATCAATTTGGCTTGACTTGTTTTCAAGACCAACCTGCATGCAAAAACTTCCTATCTGCATTTTTGCGACCAGGAGAGTGCCAACAACAAACACCGCACAAACGGACAGACATAGCTAAAACAACTCAGGATTTCACGCTGACCAAGAATATATATAGTTTATAGGGCCTCTGAAGCTCCCTTCTGGGTGTTAGATGAGTATACACCCACGTTACAGTCGCGGGTATCAAAATTGTATTTTATTTATTTATTTTGTTAAATCAAATGCACTAACCATCTTCTCCATCCTTTAAGAATTAAAAAAAAATGCGCGCCTTATTTGCTAGTCCTCATCTCACTTCTAGTCCTAATAAAACTGACAGGCACATAAGTTTAATTTTCATCTTTCATTTTTTTTTTTTTTTTTTTTGTTTAACATAATTATTAGAAGAACAACATAAGTTGTTATTTATTCAATTTTTCTCTATGAACTAGATCTTATTGTTTATAGGTCTGGCCCATTCCCCTTTTATGTACCCCAAAAAAAAATTTCTTTACTTCCGCACTCTCGTTTAATGCCACACATAAATGATAATAAGCATTATTTTTCTATTTCGCTTATAACAAATAAACATGAGTCATTGCTCCGATGCTTTCAATCCGAGTTTTTGCAATTCCGTTGTTAGTCTTTGAACTGCACAGAATTGAATGGAAGTCCGATCTATTGAAAACTGTTCAAAAAATGCAAAACAAACACGACATACTTCCGCAAAGCGAGATGAGCAACGCATCAAAGATCTTCTGCAGATTATGCACAGCGATGTTTGCATTCCAATGGGGACTGCAGCACACTCCAGATCAAAGTATTTTGTGACGTCCACTGGCGACTATTCGTTATATTCTAAACCAGAGTGCCACAGTCGAAGCGTGCTGGGCCTATTAGCAAAAAAAACATTTTTATTTATTCAGTTTTTATCTATGAACTATTACAAAAAAGAAGACACATATACACACACACATAATCACGTAACAGCGGATATTAAAATCGAAGCTACTTTCTATATTCGAACAAAAATGAAGTCGAATTTTGTGAATTGGTGACTGGTTTTTTTTGCAAAATTTTCAAAAACAGTTTAAAATGAAGGACAAATGTACTGTGCTCGTCAATAGTTTAAAACCTATCAAAGATATCTATCGAAAAGCTCTTGTCAATATTACATTACACTTGGCTTACAAACGTCGAGATGCGAACGCTAAACATTATTAACATAAGACTTTTGTGTTTTAAAACATATGCCTAAAGTGAAGAGTATTCCGTTTGCTCACGCACTTCAAGCAATCTGTTCTCTAACGCTAAAGCCCGAAGACCCATAAGAAGGCAGAAAGAAAAGTAAATGCCGCAACGTCAAGCATTTATTTAACTATGATAGGCTTTTTAGATGCAGCTGAGCAAATAATAGAAACTTATGCAAACATTTTTAAATGTCCATCCATCCGCCTTTGTCCTAAAAAAACGGTAACTTATCATATATTTACTAAACTTTATGAAAGATATTTTTTCTGTTTTCGCTTATACCCATCACCGAAAGGATGCGTAGTGTATTCAATCTATCAAAAGGTTTGCAACGTCAAACGGTGACCTTCATAGGCTCTACGCAATATATATATATAAAGACACTCTTGATCATGATGGATATAGAAGATTCGATCACGATCGAATGTAATTTCCTTACCTGATTTTGATTAATTTATTTGTTTCGTTTTTTTCACACAATTTTCGAGTCAACGCAGATGAAGTGCTCTCCAAGCAATTAAAATTATGAAAAACGTTTCAATCACATAATGCTTGTATAGAATATGTATTTTTTGAGAAATTTCGTATCGCATTCTTTTTGCAAGTTGTCGTAATGATGGGAACATTTTTCAAAAATTGTTTAAAAAATATTTTATTAGCAAAGCCGTAGATGATGCAATCAATAAAATAAATTACATAGCAGCTCAGGAGTTGAGCGCATAAGCAAAGTTTTTAAAATTCTCAAACTTTCAATTGTTAGCAGAGACCAGGTTAGCTGGTATCACATATAGCTTCATTAACATTCTGACAGGCGTCACCTGTTAGCTAATACTATTATTTTAAAAATAATGTGCATTTTTTTTTAAGATGAGATCTATACGTCAGTCCTGGAAATTATAAATGACGCGAGGAAAACTGGTCGAAGCAATGCCCTGTTAAGTGACTTTCTGAGCATACTTTACATTAGGCAGCTGACTTTTTCGACGCATCCGGTCCAAATGAAATGTTTTGTCTCATTGCTGCATAACGCTCTTTCCTAGAAAAAGTTCTGGGATAGAGTTTATTTTTGGCCGTAGCTAAAATGAGTGCTAAGTCAATAAACGCATAACGTTTTCTGATGGGGTACAAATTCCTTAAGCCTTGGCCTATACACCTCTATATATGTTTCTCTTTGCTAATGTCTTCCTGATAGTCGCAGTGTTACACAAATAGGCGACATTGATCATATTAAAAAAAAAAAAGGCGAAAACAGAAGATACTTCTCTCTGATCGTTGTAGGCGCCTTGTTACCAATTTATGTGGAATGGTTAAGACAAACCCATCTTTTGCTCCGCTTGTGAATAATCTAAAGGACAAATGTCACCCAATTTTACTTTTGCAAACAATGGCCTTGGCACTGGAAGCGAGGGTTTCAATTAGCTTTCAGCCTTTTTCGTAGCATTGATTATCTAGATTAGATTTATTTCAATTTGATGTTAGGAGGCCATAAATTCCTTTCTCTTGAAAAGTGGAAGATTAGTCCTCCATCGACTTTCACTCTTAGTAAAACTTCCAAATGAGTTAACGAGACTGAAGAGCTTTTTTTTGTCCAAAAATTTTTTGTAACTTTGTCATCATTTGCTATATATATATATATATAGTTTTAACTATAGTTCAACTATAGTTCAAAATATAAAATATATTTTAATTTTTTTTTTTCTATGTTCAAATAAGTCTTTGGGTTTTGCCCAATAGTGTAGTGCGGGTTATTCGTATACTCATAACTGTATATACTTCGTTTGAGACATTTACAGGAAGTGGTAGGTAGTGAAAGAAAGC